GCATCCCACGAGGGTCCCGCTCTATCCTATCCCCGCTTCGCTTCCCACCCGCCCTATGTCAACGATTACAATGGACTACATCACGCACCTTCCACCTACTCCGGAGGGATACGACTCTTGCTTAGTCGTTGTGGACCACGACTCTACGAAGGGGGTAATTTATACGCCTTGCACCGAATCTGAAGACGCCGCAGACACTGCTCGCATGCTACACGACACGGTTTACCGACGATTTGGACTCCCAGATCACATGATCTCTGACCGAGGACCCCAGTTCGCGTCTAGAGTCATGCGAGAACTGTGCAAAATCCTTCAGATTGACCAACGAATCTCTACGGTGTACCACCCTCAGACGGACGGACAAACGGAACGAGCAAATCAAGAACTCGAGGTCTACCTTCGTATCCTCTGCGCAAACAATCCTGAAACCTGGGCATCAATGCTTCCCGACGCCGAGTTTGCACATAACTCTAGGAAGCATTCTACGATCAAGATGTCCCCGTTCTACGCAATGATGGGATACGAACCTCGCTCCATCCCAGCCGTTCACGAACCCACGAACATTCCCTCAGTTGAAGAACGACTCAACAACCTGCAACAAGTTCGGAAAGAAGCTGAAGCTACGATGGAACTCGCCCAACGCATGGTGGAAGACCGTATCCGCAAGGATCACCGACGTTTCAGAAAGGACAGAAGGTCTGGCTAGACTCAAAGAACCTTCATCTCCTTATCCGTCACGGAAACTATCGCCTAAACGGGAAGGACCATTTGCAATCACGGAAGTCATGGGACACGGAGTCTACAGACTGGCACTCCCGAAGCAATGGCGAATCCATCCCGTCTTCCACGCCGGTCTTCTTTCCCCATATAGAACAACGGACACTCACGGTCCCAATCACACGATGCCACCACCTGACCTTATCGACGGAGAAGAAGAATACGAAGTGGAGCAATTATCAATCACCGAGGAAGTCCAGTCGGAGGCAGTACTATGTGTCATGGTGCGGTTATCCTTCGTCAGCCAACGAATGGATACCGGAACGGAACCTAACCGGAACATCAGACGATCTCCTCTTGGAGTATAAGACAAAGCATCGCATTGGAGTCGTCCGTATCGACTTCAACCACAAGACAATAACCCACCTCCAGTCCTCTGAACCTTCATCGTCTTTCGTTCCCTCGACATGTCTCGCTTTGCCATCGCCCGCACTCCATCTCCCATCCTCCCCACTCCCCTCCTCGCCGAAACTCGTCGACTCTTTCTGAACGACCCGAGTTGCAGGAAGCCCCCGAACCCGCGTAAACTGGAGGATGGTTCAACACCTGTTCCTGACCCCGACACACAGCTCATCGACCTCGCCTACCCCCTGTCGAGATCCCCTCACGAACGCGGAACAACACGACGCCCTCGACGCATTGGTCGGCGTGTACGACGCAATAACCGAGGTATGATGAGGAGCATTTACGACAGGACATCATAGCCGATTCTTAGCGTACGAACGAGACGCCGTCGGTGCGCTCACCGCGTCTCTTGAACATTAGAGCACACCCGATTCCCGGAGCTCCTCGCACACAACGACCTGACGCGCGACCCCACGAACCTGGTATACCCCGGAAGGGACGTGACCCGGACGACCTCGTCCCCGAAGCAGCGTGAGCCCTCATCGACAATAGAACCGTGTGTTTCCTGGGGTGCAACAATGAGCACGACATCGAGTCCTCGATTGTTTCCTGTATACCTGCCCCAAGTGCCGACGTACAGCCCCGGTCATACGAACCGTGCATGTCCCCAGGTGGGACCAGCGATGACTCACGGTCGACGTCTTCCGAGATCCTCGCTGCCGATATTCTCTCTGATCGCACCTCGTCCGGCTTACCAATGCGCTCAACGAGGAGCACACAACTCGCCGAAGAAACCGACGAGAATAACCTCGCAGAACTGTATTCCTTCGACAGCGCACCTCTCGTCGTCGACACCCCACACCCCTACCACGGCTCGATATACCGTAGCTAGGCGACTTCCTGGCATCTACCGGATAGGCACGCACGCATACTGAGCCGACTGTACCATTCAGGAGCACGAGGAATGGTATTTGATACCTGGGCAGAGGCCAAAGATTATATGCATGAGTGGCATCATCAGGAAAAACCTGGGTTACTTATGTGTCCTTTTAAAGAATTGGATGTACGTTTTGAGACTTTGAGCCCTTATACAAGTACGAGAGACAACAAAGCTGCTGAAGATTGCTTTAGAAATAGGGCCAGCTGCTGTAGTACGTCTGAGATCAAGGATGGTGCTCTGAAGACCTTTGAATTCTGACTCCACAGCTTCAGTCCATGCCTCGAAAGTTGTTTTATGCACACAAGGACAAGAGTTTGCTACAAAGATTACATTCATCTTTTGAAGTACAGACACAAGAATTGTAAGTACTGTAAGTACTGTCTACCACAGAGTCTGGTATGCATACGTACTAGCCCAATTATTCAGTAGAAATCTAGAAGCTACGTCTAGTATAGTATTAGTGTTCCATTCCTGTGGCAATATCTCCGCTGAATCTCCTACAGAACTTGGGTATCTAGGGATTAATTGACAAGATTGGCGTATAGTACTCAATGGAATGATCTCTGCAACTGGGTTGCCGTCAGAGCGAAGGGGAGATTTATTGATAGAGTACATCATATGAATAGGGTCAGCAGTCGATGGAACCTTGGCGTACCACTCTACATAGGCTAATGGGCCTTGTTCTGCCCATGAATTCGGCGCCGTCACAGGAACGCGAGTACGAGGGTCTTTGATCTTCTCTGGAAGCTTGAAAATCACGCGAACACGCCCGATTCTCGTGCCTGTCAGTGAGCAGAATGAGAATGGGCAAATCAGCATAAGACTCTTTGCCAGTAACAGAACGTACCTACCTTGCAACCCTGTAGCTTCGGCATCCTTCTCCTGCAATACCACAACGGTGTCAAAACGACCTGGTTGTTCTCCTATTGGAGGGTGCGCCTTGACCGCGTCGGTCTCGTCCTTGCTGTCGGCCAAGGGCTCCGGCGCGAACTTGAATCCATGATATACATCAACACGGTCAAACGGCATGTGCGATACGGCGGTAACGAGTTGGGCGGAAGTGAGAGGTCGATTGTTCTTGAGTGTGTAGATATGCTGAGCAAGTGCGCGTGTGAAGCCCGGTGCGTTGTGTCTGTCTTCAATACGATCGAGAGACTGCATGGGAACTGTGGGGTGCTTTGGCAGTTTGATGCTAACGTTGTGTCCAACAGCTGGGTCCACGTCGTCGACATTGTCTTCATCATCATCCCTCTCCAGTCGTCTTCGCATAGTCGAGCCGAAAACAACCATCTTCTCCTGACGCGCAAGCCATTGGACCATTTGCGGACGCGCGTTTCGATGATTCGAGGCCCTCCAACCGTTCTTCGCATAATCGATATGCAGGCGTTCGAACACCTCGGTATTGTAGTTATCAGTTGTTCCTAACAGGCGAATTGAGTCGACGTAGTGTAGAAGAGAATGGAATTTCGGGATGTTTAGGTGTTCTCGTACACCGCAATTGACGAGGACTTGCTTGTTCTTGTGAAACACCCTGAGCGCCTCCTCCATATATTCGAGGGTCGTTTCGTCGTGCGTCGAGTATTGCGCTAGGTACATGAAGTCGAGGATAGCTCGGAAGGCTAGTATTGCGTTCTTGGGGATCTTGCCGACCAAACATCCGAGCAATATGCGCGCCATGTACTTGCGCTCAGTACCAGACACCTGAGAAAGAACGGAGATGCCATTTTTAAAATGACGAGTTCCATATGCAGGCGGTAGGCAGCGAATACGGCGGTCGAGCTCCTGCTCATCCATGAGTTCAGAGCACCACTGGACTATGTGCTTGAACACCCCTTGGTATAATTGGTGGAGGACGTCAGGGGTGATACAGGCGTGGATATCGGTGTATGGAAGGTCGCGCCAGAAGGGACGCACGATGTATCCACAGACGTTCAGCTCGTTGCACGCCCGAGCGTAGGCGGCCGAATCCTTCTTTCCGCCGCTGTTCTTGGTGGCTAGGCGCAGGACATCCAATGTCCATAGGGAAGTTCGCGATGTGCCGGGCGTAGGAGAGTCGAGTCTGTCTTCTGGGAGCTGGCATTTTGGACATGTACCATACTTCGAGCATGTAACCAAGCATTGCTCGGGGTAATCAGCAACATATGCGGCTAGAATGGGGTGCACCATGCGCACCGCACCGTCCCCTCCGGTCACCTCAATACCGTTCTTTCCAGCCTCGACGAGTGGCTCCAGAATAACACGTACAGAGGTGTGGAATAGCTGCTGGGCAAGGGCTCGTTGCTTGCGCTTCGTGATCCCATTTGAATCGATCTTGTCCACGGACAAGTATCCTATGAGGATACATGCGTGTTCAGATGGTTTCCTTCGCAGAGCTCGAGGGAGATTGCCGAGCGTCATATAGACCGGGTAGGCTGATTTTCCGCCAGAAAATTGTGTCAGTTGTGTCTTGTCCGTCGCTATGATTACAGGCGCGACAGCAGCCCCTTCAGGCAAGAGGCTCTGTAAATGAACTCAGCATCTTTGCACTCACACACATACAGCTGAAGGAATATTAACTGACCTGCACGGTGTGCCACCAGCGCCCAGTCCACATCTCATGGTAGATGCGGCTCGCTTGAGATGAGTCGGTGAAGATCCGACGAGGTCAATAGACAATTTGACCTGTGTGATCAGGGTTGCCCAATAGAGTGCGTATCGCTTCAATGATATCGCAAAACTGCACGAGGTGCCTCTCGTCCGGTCGATCCTTGAAGGTCAACCACTGCTCTTTCCACTCGGCTCTCTCTGGAAGGGAATCCACTCGTTGGAGCAGGGCGCGAGCGTTGTGGTACGAGAGACCCAATCTTTCCTGAAACTAAGATACGTAGATACAATGTTCTTCGTTAGCATGAGGCGTGAAAGTCAAGCTAGACACATTACCCCCGGGATCTCTAATACTCTATCTACAGAACCCTGACTCAGGCCCTCCTGAACCGCCCACGATGCAAACCGCCAGTCCATTTTGCTTTGAAATGGAGCCCACGGGTTGGTTCCCTCTGCCTGATCTTCCGTACTCTCGAGCGCTTTGTCTGCAGAAGCAGGCAACAGCGTTCAGTTTCTCAGTAAACGCACAGGACTCGTACAGAGCACAGCTCACCTGGTGGCTGTTTCTCCCTCTCCCTCTGTTCCTGCCACCTCTTCCGTATCACCTCGTCAGTTCGGATAACAGCTGCAGAGCTCATGTCGATATGTTCTACTCTTGAATCTTCGTCATCGTCCAAGGTGAGAGCATTCCGTCTGGACCGAGACGAAGACGGGCCAGCAGTACTTGAGGCGCGTTCAGATGGAGAGACCTCGATAAAGTCGTACATAGATCCCAGCTCCGACGCGTCCTCTGGGTCTTCATCCGAAGATAACGGTGGGCCGACAGGACTGCTACAACGATCGTGATGCGCAATATGATTTTGGCTCCCACCTTCGCCCTTGTCATTCTCGTCGTGACTGTCGTCGTAACCGTTTGCTGACCTGCGGAACTTAACATTTGAATGTCACAAACATATATACTCAGCACTTACCTTTCTACTTTGTCCTCAACCCAAGGCCCTTCGCTGTCCAAATATTCGATTTCGTCAAGCTCAAACACTTCCTTGAGTTTCCCTTTCTTGTACCATGCGCACTTCTTGCTCATGCTTTGATGTGCTGCGAGACCTTGCATCGTGTCAAAGCCTTCGTTGCAAGCTGAGCATGTTGTCGACAAGATATCTTCCAGTGAGCGCCGTTTCTTTCCCATAATCTGCTTCCATTAATTTGCGTTAATAAATGAGATTTTATAGAACAGACGGACAGACTCACCGTATATCAGAGCTGAAGGACAAGGGGAAAAAGACGACTCAAGACGTGGGAGCTTCTCTCCGTCACCGTCGATCTGCCCTGTATGATCGTTACTCAATTGACCTTCAGTTACATAATTCTCTCGGCCGCGCAAATTCGCAGGACGTGCATTCCCACAGTATGTCAGGATTTTGCTTCTTCTAAACTCCCACCTTCCGTCGTTCAAGTTGTTGCTCCTCTGCTCAGTCTTACCATCCTATCTTCGTTCAATCTTCAATTGTCGTGGGCTCCGCGTTGATATTCGACATTTGTGTGGTAGGTGAGTGGTCCCACACCCTATCGTCAATCACTGATCACTGATCGAGTACAACTGTAGATTCGCAAACGTGAGTCCTACCTCTACGGCTCTTTCGTTTTGGCTTCGCGAACTACAGATCTGCTGGTTAAGCAAGTATAAGCCTACCACCCTAGTAGGGTGGCGTGAGAATTAAGTCGTGCTGCTCCACGCACCCTTCCCACGGCACAGCAGTCCTATTGACACGGCCGCCGAGCATAAGGCACGAAGGGTATAGGCAGTCCGGATCCATTCCCAGGTCCCAGTCATCCTTCAAGAAGGATTCTCTTCTCTCGCCTTGTGTCCCCCTGGCACGCAACATGCCTGCCCTCCGTCGCCCAGCTCGGGCTATCGACTCGCAGCCATACATCTCCTCTCTATACAACGCCGCAGACCTCACTGACGGCGCCAAGTCCTTAGAATTGAACTACACGGAGCATCTAGCAGCCCTAGGTCGTGAGGATAGTCTAGAGGGTATCGTCGTCTCTGTAGACGACATAGAATTCGACAGTGGTCAAACGCACGGTGAATTACAGTCTTGTCTGCGTTCTTTCAATCGTGCTGATCCATACGCAGATTACTCAGACTCGGAAGGTCCGTCAGGCTCCTCAAACGGAGACACCGGCCAAGCAGACAACATCGACAGTTGTAGCACAGACCCTTGTCACCACAGCGACGGGTTCAACACCGACAACGAACACGAACACACCCTCTTCCAGAGGGTTTTCAGCGATCTCATTGACGATCCTCAGTGGCCGCGTGTTCAGGACGCTCACATCGTAAGCAATGATTGTCTCAGTATGTGCGATCTTTGTCTGATCGCACAATCGCACCGTAGGAGGTCTTCCTGAATAGTTCAGACTGGGAGAAGCTCGTGCAACTTGTCCTAGACGAACAGTATTTCTACCAATACTTCAGGTGAGTTTCTAGACACTCATCGACGTCTTGTTGCCTCACTCAAGATCGTAACAGCTTTCAGTACTTCCACGACGAACAGATACTCAGGATGTCCTCAGCCTCCCCCCTCCACGAGGCCGTCTCCAACTTCCTCGGCACTTACGTCTCGCAGAGAGGCAGTCGCATCGTCATTGACCTCGGTGATTTTGTCGGCTCACTCCAAACGGACACCAAGAAGATGTTCGTCGGCCCTGCTCCCGATCCAACCGATCCTTCTCGCCACGTCCAGAGGTTGAAGGCACCCGCATTGTTGGTACCGGACGGTTCTGTGGTGCTCAGGCTACCGGCCTTCAACGACTGCGGCGAGCTTGTAAAGGATCTAGACGAGCGTGTGGTGGCAGTGATCGAGAAGGGGTTCACGGAGCCATGGGATCACCTCGTATATCGTGTACGTGGCAGTGTCTCGATGCCACTTGAAAGCGACTAAACAAGTGTGCAGTTCGGGCAGTACAGCGTGCCTGATACGCTAAACCCGGATCTCAACGAGTTACCAGTGTTCCAGCTCGCCGTCAAGGTGTTTGAGCGTCCAGAATATCATTCTCCGTGGAGCAAGGACATTCCAGATGCCGAGCTGGACGCGTGGCGAACTCAATGGGTGAATGTGAACAAAAGTAGCCTGCGCACGCTCCCGCCGAGCGACGAGGACAAGACGTTGACCGGAAGAATTCTCGTTGGCGATCATACGTTCTGCGGAGAGCTCGAGGCCTACCTGGTGCTGCTCGACTTCTCGGCCGAGAACAGAGGCGAGTTCCGAAACCTATACGCGAACCAAGAACAAGTGGCCGAGTGGGTGAGGCGCGGCCAAGCTATCGTGAGTCGACCTCGCAGATCGGATGGCGGAATCGCTGTGTCTAATGTCCATCTTCCCAGGCGGTGCAAAAGACGTACAGACGTGTAGAAGCCGAGCAATTTCAGGCATTCACGATCAAGTGGAAGACCGTCTTCACCAGGTTCCAGATGCGCATCTGGAACCAAAGTGTGCAGGCCTGGGAGGGGTTTGTAGATGCTCAGCAACGTCGCGGCATCGAGGTCTACACGGACAACCGAATCCAGGAGGCCTGGGCCTCGTATCTTGACTGGCCGTTCGTCGACCTGGGATCGAATGTAGCGCAGGTGCCCTTGCAAGAGATCATCGATGCCATCATATCGGGGGCTCAGGCTACGGCGCGACAATGTTTCGATGCCTTCAAGAGGAAGCATTTCGGAGCTGTTCCACGGGCAGCGACGTCGCCGCCTGCTAACCCTGTTGGCGGGACTCCTCCTTCTTTAGAGGTCGAGGCGCAAGAAGAGATGCAGAAGATGAAGCTGAAGAGCGAAGAATTGAAGGCGAGCATGAAGCGCAAGAGCGAGGAGTTGCGAGAGAAGAGCCTCGTAGCTTCGGCCAAGCATTCACGCGTTGTTAACGACGGCACACCGTGAGCACACTACGAAGGTCTCAGGTGGACACTGCTCTACGAGCTTGGCTCCTTCCTTCGTACGTTCAGGTTTGCCCTGGTTGTCGGTATGGTTGTTGGTATCATGTTCCCTCACTTGTATGCTGTCGTTGTTGCTCCCGCTGTACAGTAGCTCTTCGTATCTCGCTCTGCCTCTCTGTCGCTCGTCGTATCCTTCATCTCGTAGCCTGTTGTGTCGCCTCTCGTAAATGTTTGTAGTACTCCTGTAACATCGCTAAGTCGTATCGTATGGCAAGACACAGTCTACACCAAGATCACGCGGTGCACCGGTCTCGTGAACACTCCAGCCACTCTTGTCTTGTACTACCAACTCTGCCGCCGTCCTCCAACGATCCTTTCGTGCAATGTACACGTCCTGGACCATTCCGAACGCGTCATAAGCCGAATAAGCAGGAGACGAGAGCCGCACGGCCAAGCAGGGGAAGAGGTAGGGCAGTGCACGGCCTCGGGAACAGGAGCAGGTCCGTAGTCCAAGGTACGCTTCTCCTAGTACTCGTCCATCCTCACCTGTCTACACCGTCCATTCTCGCTCGTCCACCTCGCCATCCTTCTCGTCCATCCGTCTCGCCCGTCCACCCCGTGCATATCGCCCGTCTACGCTGTTCGCCTCGCCCGTTTATTCTGTTCGCCTCGCCCGTCTACCCTGTCCTTCTCGCCCATCTACCCGTCCTTCTCGCCCGTCTACGCGTTCGTCTGGCAGGGCATGGCGAAGGCAAGGAGTAGGAGCACGAAGGTCCGCCCGCCCACCTCTTCTTCTAGCGCACCCACCTCGTCCATCTCGCCCGTCTACCCTATCCGTGCCGCCCGTCTAACTCGTTAGTCTCATCCGTCTACTCCGTCGATCTTGCGCCTCCCCTCGCCCGTCGATCCTCGCCATTCTGCTCGTCCTAGTCGCCGGTCTATACTGGCAATGCTGCTCGTCCGTCTCGCCTGTCTAATCCTCTCGTCATACTGTCCATCCTTCTCGCCATCCGTCTCACCTGTCTACCCCATTGATTCTCGTCTGTCCGTCTCACCGTCCGTCTCACCGTCCGTCTCACTGTCCGTCTCACCAGCGAATGAGCAGGAAATGACAGCTACACGACCAAGCAGGAGAGGAGGGAGGGCAACACTCAGGCGAGTAGAAGGGGCATGAATGCTCCGTAGTTCAAGGTACGCCCCATTGTGCTCGTCCACCTATCTTGTCCTTCACGCCCGTCTGGCCCTTCCTTCACGCCCTTCACGCCTGTTTGCCCCGTCCTCCACACCCATCTGCCCCATCTTGCACGCCCTTCACGGCCGTCCGCCTTGTCCTTCTCGCCCTTTCTCCTTGTCCTTCTCCCCCGTCTGCGCCGTCCTTCTCCCCCTGCACGCCCATCTACACCGTCCTGCATGCCCTTCACACCGGTCTGCCTAGTCCCTCATGCCCTTCACGCCGGTCCCTTGCCCTGGCACGCCCGTCTGCACCGTTCTTCTCGCCCAGCACACCCATCTACATCGTCCAGCACGCCCATCTCTTCACGCCCATCTCTTCACCACGCCCATCTCTTCACGCTCATCTGCTTCACGGCCGTCTGCTTCGTCTGCTTCCTTCACAGCCGTCTGCTTCATGCCCATCTCTTCACGCCCGTCTGCTACACGACCGTCTGCCTCCACCTGCACGGCCGTCTGCACCGTCCTTCTCGCCCTGCACGACCATCTACATCGTCCTGCACGCCCATCTCTCCACGCCCGTCTGCCTCACGCCCGTATGCTACACGCCGGTGCTACACGATCGAGTCTGCCTCGTCCTGCACGGCATTCTGCGCTGTCGTTCTCCCCCTGCACGCCCATCTGCACCATCCTTCTCGCCCTGCACGACCCTGCGCGACCGTCTGCACCGTCGTCCACGTCGGTCTGCACTGTCCTTCTCGCCGTTCCTCCTTGTCCTCCTCGTACGTCTGCGCCGTCTCACGACCGTCTGCCTTGTCCTTTACGGCCGTCCGCTTCACGACCATGTGCCCCATCCTTCAAGCCGGTCTGCGCCGTCTTCTCGTCTTCTCGCCCCGCACGCCACAAGTTCGCGCCTGCCACGAGCATGTCACTGGCGCGCCTCCGTTCGCGCGCGATCAGCTTGTCTGTTTACTGTGTCGCAACATCAAGACGACGCACCCCTCCGACGACAACGAACTCATTGAGCGGTTTCACCGCCGTCACCCTCACGCTCCGCGTCCACATCGCCTTGTCATTGATCGACGTGCGTCCTTCTCGCCCTTCACGCCTGTCCTTCATGCCCGTCCTTCTCGCCCTTCGCCCTTCATGTCCGTCCTTCTCGTCCTTCACACCCGTCCTTCTCGCCGGTCTCTCCTATCTGGCACGCGCATCCGCCGTGTTCTTCTTGCTCTGCACCATCCTGCACGCCTTTTACACCGGGTCGGCCTCGTCCTTCCGTCTGCCTCGTCCTTCGCGCCCGACTGCCGATCTCTGCTCACTGGGTTTGCCCATCGATCTAGGAGGCTCGGTAGTTGAACGTACGCCCCATCCTGCTCGCCTTGCACGTCCATCTCCTGCCCTCGTCTGGCCTGTCGTTATAGGCTGTCAGTTGGACATCGCAGTGTCAGTTGCCAAATGAGACCAACGTGTAATGTGTCTGAGATGGGCTCTTGGTGGGGATAGTAACAACACGAGCTCGATACAGGCGACGTAGACTATGGGAGCCCACAATACATGTATCATATTCCTGGCATTTAGGGCAATACAAGAGCAATTTGAGCGAGTACTGTGCCCAAATCCGCGCGCAGCTTTGTCAATAGTGCCGTTTGTGGACAGTGTCACTGCCCTGCAGCTCCAATGGGGTATCTACCGAGAGATGCTTTGTCACTAGGTGCTATAACTCTGTACCACGAGCACAACCTTCATTGCAGCATGCAGCTTACTACAGCTGAGGCCCACGAAGTGCTGCAGCTACTTTCGGAGGCTCCAACGCTCAATGCTACGTTATCAGCTTTATTGGTGCGTTTACGAGGAGCATACGATGTCCCGGTTGTTCGTCAACCCACGGATACCGACGAACAACCTCATGATGAGGGCACTCCTCACGAAGAGAGGGACACTGTCACAGACGATCCAAATGGTGGTGAGTGATTAATTAGAAACCAGAAATGTGGCCATGACACGCTCAGATACTCATATCGTCTTCAGAGACGGAGTCTAGAGCACTGGACAACATCCCAATGCCATTCACCAGCGATCAACAACAAATCACGCCAGTGAACTCAACAGGTATGTACTCAATGGTGATAGTTGATTGTAGTGTTCGTAACATGGTGCTCTCAGAGAGCTTGGGCCCAAGGCGCTGTGAGCGTCGACACGCTCCTAAGCACAGGCCTTACCCCAGTCGATATCCAACCGGTGGTCAGACTACGTCTAATAATGCAAACCCAGCACTTTTACCACTTCCTCCATGTCCTCGGGGAGGAATTGATTTCATCTCTTGTTCCTCAGGCAGATCTGCCGAGGCATCCTGGGTGACCAGGTCTGAAGCGCAGTTCCGAGCGCCTCGTCCAGCAACTACGAATTTCGTAGTCAGCCTCACAGCGAGTATAGACAAGAACGAAGTCGTGGCTGCTTCCCACTCAATCGTGTCACCGAGTGCTGCGGAGACCAGTACCTTCGAGGCTTGCCATTCTCCGAGTCCTACAGGAAGCTTGGCTAGCTTTGTGCAACACTGTGCAGCGTTCGAAAGAAAAGGAGCTGCACACGACTTCAATTGCATGATTCTCCTTGTACAACTTGTGTACAAATGCGCAAGGTATATTGCTTCGTCTGCCAGCGAACACTTATCTGACGGTGAATGTGTTAGTATTTCCCAGCCGAACACTGTCAACGCTGCAAAAATATGGAGAGATCACCTATCACAGTTGAAGGGGCCTCCGTCCAAGCGCACATTTCAATCGTGGTATACCTTGGGTACAAGGTTCGCCAAGATAGCTGAAGGAGGTAAGAATGTTCATACTCAATACACACCTCATCTAACAATTTCTGTGGGATCCGTTTACGTCCTTCTCTTGATTGCTGTCAAAGGTCTTCGTGTTCGTCTGGCGGAAGCAGAGGGTTCGATTAGTGAGGAAATAGGCAACATTATGAGAAGACCGGATACGAGTCAGTGTATTTCTTACATTTTTCTGGACGTAGCAGTACTGATTACCTGACACAGAGACAGAAGCAGGATGCGCTGTTCGAGACGCACTTATACCTTTGGTGGCTATCCTGAGGGCAGAGTGTCCCTTGCGCCTCTCGGATTTATTCGATCCAAGTGATGTTGTATCGCAAGGCCTATCAGCGCACTCGCTTTGTGGTGACCTCGATAGTTCTGATCGATTCTTCAAGGCCATTGCATCTAAGTGAGTGGTGAATACGTTGTTTACTATCTGCCAGGCTGATCGTTCCATCCATAAACATCCAGCTCCTTTGCCCTTGTTCCTCGTGACGATTTTGCCTGGGCCTCTTGCATCGGCATTACAGAGATATTCGCAGATCTCGCAGATCCTACGGTCCCGGTCCGAGAAGAACCAGCCACCCATGTGTCTCCAGAAGCTTGTGGAGCCTTCAATCTGAGAGGGTTATCGCCTCTCACCCCAATTTCGACGCTTAGCGAACTGGATCCCTGGGAACCAGATAGTACGCCTACTTCTCCAACGTCAACTCTCGATTCCTTCGCAGTGATCAAGACATCCTACGATATCTTGCACGAGCGCAATCAACGATTCTCCGCGTCGAGAGACAGGCAAGCGAATATTGTCTGGACTGATCAAAGACGCCTGTTAGCTGCAAGAGCAAGCGTCCCGGTAACACGTCAGGCACTAGAACTGGAGGTATCGTCGGAACAGATGTATTTGCTTACGCAGAAGCTGATGCACGTGTCAGCTGCAAAATATGTACTCGGAAGGCTGTCGATCGAACAAGGAGCAGTATGTGAAGATAGGGCGAGATACATTCGAGTAAGTGTCTCCCCTATCGTCCTTTCATTGTCACGCTTAGTTCTTTGAAGGGACATTCTTATTATCCAGGATGTCCACTCGATTGATATGGCTGGCATCTGCAATTCAATGCCGAACAACATGCGCGACAACCCAACCGATCGTCTAACTGCGTGTTTTCCGTTCAATCCTTTGAAGACTATCCATACCGCGGCATCAGGCCGGGATATCACATTTGAAGCCTTGCACTTCTCGTGGTACAACCGCCATACTACGCAGGTAAGTGTTTTTGTCAGCCTATCATGATATTACGATGGTAACGCACACATGCACAGGGAAGTACAGCGCCCACAGATGTGCCTCCTTTCATGCTAGCACGACCCAATGGTCACAGAACCAATTATACTCAAATGCTGCCATACACGTCCAAAGATATGGCTCAGCACGAGGATATCTATCAATCGTTGAGGAACGTGCTCGGTGATGTCTTTGAGTGGCTTGATAACAAGGTCATCTACTTTCTATCGTCAAATGCAACTTCACCTGAGTGTCTTTTTCATACACATAGATAGCAACGATGTTCCCGAACTTCTACACTAGACTGGAGAATTTCGCAGAAATTCTACCAGGGAACAACACACCACTGTCTGCACCATTTTTGGGGCTTGTGGTGAATCTCAATGTCGTCACACAAGCTCACAGAGATAGCAAAGACTACGACATGTGTCTAGTCCTCGCCATAGGTGACTTCGAGGGAGGTGAGCTCTGCCTAGAAGAACCGGGCATTGTAATTCCTCTGTCGTCTGGGGACTTCGTTATATTTCCATCCTGTCGATTCACCCACTTCAACCTGCACTACGACGGACGTCGTGCTTCTATTGTCCTACACACGGACAAGGAAATGTCAAGATGGTGCTACGGCGATCGTAATGGTTGGGTTCATAATGATTCGTTTCATTGATGTAATGTTTTGTTCTGCTACTGAAGACCAAAATTGTACGTGTGTTCTTGAACTCGAGTACATAGAAGTCGAGAGTCTGCAAGAAGCATCAATAAATCGGACTCCGCGAAAGCGGGAACACGGCGGTCTTCGGAATCAGCGACGAATGCTTCCGTCGGTGACTACTCACCCTCGTCCTCATACGACCCTCCGTAGCCTCTGAGCTCTCAGAATGACGTCGCGCACCCGTTCAGTTGCTCGAAAGCAAGCCTCCGGATCTCGAGCTGCACGGGGCGCCAGTCAGAAAGGCGCGAAAGTTCGGCAAACCGCCAACAAGTCATCGCCTGGGAGCGACGTCCCAGACATCGATACCAGTGGGTTGTCCCAGTCCGACGCACAGGCTCTGGCGAAGCTCCTCAAAAAAGCTAAGGATGCTAAGAAGGCTGACACAGAGTCACGGCTCAAAGGTGAGTGCAACATATGTATCGAACGGAACTTCATACTTGTCAGCAATGAACCAATCTTAGGTATCCGCAAGAGGGCATCGGACATGATCAGGGACGAGGACAGCGCTTCAGACGAAGAACGACCGAAGACCAAGAGGAAAAGGACGAAGGGCAACCAAGACTCCAACTATAACGACGAAGTCGACAACGATGCTGCGGAGGTGAAGGGCAGCGTAGAGGAGGATGAAGACCCTGCGGTTGCGGATGAGAGAGATGGTAGTGAGCGCGAAGGCAGTCAGGAGAGCAAGGAGCCGGATGTCTCGGATGGCATTGAAGAGAAGGAAGTTCGCTCGCGACGTACGCCGTAGACCCTCTGATGTAACATTTAATGTTGACCTCACCGCCCTTTAGCCAAGCCCAGGCCGGCGTACAGAGGAGCTCAACAGCCTCCTCGAAAACCTGTCAGCCTAGAGAAGGAGGAGGCAAACATCGCGAAGTCTCTCAGTGCGTCGAGCAGCTCCGGTTATCGTAATCGCGATGATGCAAACAGTACTACAGGTGCTACATCTGCTTCGAAGAGCAAGAAGAAAGCAAGGGCCATTGGTGAAAAGTCAGGAGAAGATCATGAAGAGGTCGAAGAGGTCGTTCCGAGACCGAAGAAATCGACTCTGTCCTCGTCATCTGCAAAGCAGACGAAACCGTCAATCGCCCCGCCATCCCCATCCTTCCCAAAGCGCAAAGTCTACATCAATATACCGGTGTCGCCGAAGGTATTAAAAGCTGTGTCAGCCGTGCTAATTGCTAACCTCCATTTATTTAGTCTCCAGTCCGTGGATCGACCTCCAAGTCAGCGGCGAAGGTCAACGACAAGTCAGCAGCGGCGAAGGCCAACGACAAGGGCGGGGCGAAGACGAAGGCGACCAGACGTCGGAGCGACAGTAACACTGACGATACCGACGCCGACCTTCGCAAGAGTGACCAGGATGAGAGTGATGACGACGACGGCGACGACGGCGACGATGGGGACTTCGGCAGCAACGGTGGGAAAGGGGGCAGTGAAGATGAGGAAGATGAGGACGAGCTCAAAGGAGAAGATGACAATGGTGTAGTGGTGAGTCGCTGCTTTCAGTTTTTAAGTTCCTCGCTCAAGGTATACAGATCCTGCCGGGTCGACAGGGCAAAGGGCAGAAAAATTCCAAGGGTCGAGGGCGCAAAGAACGGGCGAAGGTGACGAACCTTCCTATCGATGTACGGGTCCTCGTCACCGCAGCACAAAACTGCCTCCGTCTTCGTATCTCACTGAAGACTGCCTGGACGTCGGAGTCGTCAGTGCCCAGCGACCGTCTGCCGAACAGACACACATTGATACGTCGCAGCGTGCATGATGCGCACGAGATGCGCGATAAGGAAGGCAAGCGCATAAAGGCACTAAAGGTAGCCTTCGAGATGATTAGGACCAAACGCGAGGACGAGAAGGACGAGAAGGAGATGTTGGAAGAGGAGAAGGAGGAGGAGAGGAAGCGCCTCGCACTTCAGCAGGATGTCTACACCGTGGTGAGTGCTTTTTGTGCGTGTCAAGGTTGGTACTCTTATTAGTTTAAGGTCTGGGCGAGTGCATCCCAGTTCCGCAACGAACTCAAGAAGAAGGCCAAGGTCGTCGTCGACCAAATGTACGGCCTGCAAGGTTTGTCTCCTGAGCAGCGAAGCAGCGTTGCTGCATGGCTGCTTCGAACGCACTCGACGGATGTACTTGATGGTGGTTCGCGCAATATCCCCAATTTCGTCTTCAGCGATATCAACCTTGTGTTCGACGGCGGCAAACACGGCAAGAAGTTAGACTTGAAGGTGAGTAAATAGTGTACAGTTGAGAACAATCTGACTTGCACAACAGGCGACTACGTTCAACGAAGATGAGCCATTTCGCCACGAAGTGATTGCAGAGTTAATCTACCAGCACTGGGCCTTAGGAGCCCGAGCTGATGCTAACCTGCACGCGGCGATGGATGACTTCCGCAAGGTGCCGGACAACTTGATAGCTGTGGTCTGCAACACTGTGAGTGATGTTCGCGTACATGTACTGTGTGATTAATCCCTGCACAGATTGACTCGGCTTTGACGGAGGTCGTCACTCATGGCATGGCAAATTTCTTCACTAACAAGCTGTTTGCTGCTAAGTAAGTGAGCTTAATCTATAATCTTAGTAGGGCGTGCTCCTGAAACTCAGCAGGTGGGATGGCTTGATGGCTATCCTCGAGACGCTCAAGAACGAAGCACCGGAGCATTACAGGGAGACTAAGGCTATCATCTGGGCTCAGATATCGTGAGTGAGTGATTACGGTAGCTCAAATGCAGGTGCTCACAACAGTACCAGTGGTCGCCTGAAGGCTAACACGATAGACGAAGAGGATTCCGACGATACGAAGGGAACCAGCTTCCTCAAGTTTGATCGCTTGCGTGCAAAGGTTGGCAAGACGTCTCCTGTCCGAGAGAGGGCGAGAGCAACGTCCATCAGTACAACCCAGCCTGCAAGCTCGAAGTCAAGCTTGAAGAAGTCTGGAGGACTCGGCAAACCGTCGTCCTCGTCGTCCATGCCTGCCAGTGGCAAGGCAACAAAGTCGGTCCCTGTTAATGATCATGAAGTAGACGAGCTCGACAAGGAGGAAGGCGCCGGGAGTGTCGAGAGTCATGTGGCTCCGCATCCTTCTGGTGGCAATGTCACTGAGCCGAGTGATGAGCAGGAGCGAGAACAAGGCACCAAGGATCATGACAAGCAAGGTAAGTTAGTTAAGTTGTCGCAGCGAGGTCTGTGCTTTATGAACATCTTACAGCGCCGAGCGCCGAGGCAAACATTTGAACGACGGCGAGTTGTGAAGAGCGTACGACGTCATCCAAGGTAAGTGAGTTCACAGACAAGGTGCTATGGGCAGGATGGCTAACATTCGGTGTCAGGGAACTATCTATCATCTGCAGTACTCACGAATTATCAACGAACCCTTGGAAGACAGAACGTGGCAGTCAGAAGAGTTGTTGTACAATTTGTACCATTCATGTATGCACACTCAAGCTGTGCTTGTACCCTCACCTTTCGTCTCTCTCTGTTTGTGTCGCGTTACTTCCCATTTTGTTGTTGTTGTAATGATTGTAACAATACCATGATATCCAACGCTGATTATGCATACCTGTGGCGAGTGACATTGGAGCACTGGAGAGCAATAAGTTCTGGAGCCCAATAAGTAACGAAGAGGCATATGAACTGGAGTGGATAAGTTACACAAGAGCAATTAAAAGCTGCCTTAATATGAAGTACGGAAGCATCGTAAACATGAACAGGTCGCAAGTCTTGAGTAAAACCAAAAGACTAGAGATGTCTTTTAATACTTGAAAAGACCACTTAAGATTGGGACTTGTCTCAAGGCCCTTTTGTCCCTTAAGTGTTCTCCGGTACTTGTACAAGACCAGAAAGATATGTAGGTTTTTCCTGATGTGGCACAGTGCGAGCATGGTGCTTATGTCATGCCACTGAAGTAAATTGTACCTACATACATTATTGAGGCTCAGGCTGTACCTAACGCCAATACAATACCTGTTCAACTCAAGCTGTCGCAGTACAATGCAAGAATAATTTGATTATAAAAAAACGACATGAGCGAACTATATGTACCATTATCCATACCATCATGCCATGACACGGCACGCCGTACCGTACCGCGCCGTGCCATGCCATGCCATACCGTGACACAACGCGCCGTGCCGTGCCATACCGTGACATGACACGCCATGCCATGCCGTCCCACGCCATGCCGTGCCATGCCATGACACGCCGTACCGTGCCATACTGTACCGTACCGTGCCATGACACGCCACACCACGCCGTGCCGTGCCATGACACACCGTACCGTGACATGCCACACCACACCGTACCGTGACATGACGCGCCGTGCCATGCCATGACACGACGCGATGTGCCGCGACACACTGTACCGCGACGCGACGCTACACACCGTACCGCGACGCGACGCGATGCACCATACCGCGACGCGACACCGTACCGCGACTCGCCACGGCGGCAGGGAGCCAAAGTTACCTTTTACGGTAAGTAGCAGCTCGGGCCTGCGGCGTGACATGTCCGTGACCGCACATGACACTGGACAATGGAAAACAAGCAACGTGGTTAGGACGATGGGTAGACGGAAATGGAAATCATTGTCACAGTGACCAGAGATATTCTAAACATCCCTCACCATATCCCGGCCTGCGATACTATGTGGGGGAAATTCAAAGTATTCCATCTCGGGATACTTACTTTGAGCATCCAGACTTTCCATATCTCCGATCACAATATCCCCGAACGGGATATTCAAAATATTTAATTGGATATCCCGTACCATATCCCGTGTTCAGATACCATGTCAGGTTTGTTGTACCCTTTCCATCTCATCCACAAGTACTCAGCATCACACATAAGTCCTATCAACCCACAATGGGACAATAGTGTTATCTAATATTTTGCTCATTTTCCGGCCAGTTATGCAACACATATACATTATTACATGCATATGGAACATATCTGAGGCACAAAAAGTTACTTTGACATCTTCAGAGGCACATGTGGATTTTTTTATTTTGCATTTTCTGGACCAGCCAGCCACTCTAGCTACCCAATACTGATAGTGTATACTCTCTGAATGAAGGGCTATCAAATCAGTATACTAAGTGCACTGCAAATTGTTACTAACTAGGGCTATAGGGCAGCCTATAAGTGTGAGCACTAGCAGCAGTGAGCTGCCTGGCTGCCAGTCACATGATATGCTCACCAGTTGCCATATTGGGTGCCACTTGAAGTGTTTCTTGGGCCCTCACCCCAGGACAAAGCACTGAGCCACAGCATTTGTTTGGTGGTGTTGGTGCAAGTCACATCATCTGGGAGTCTGAAATTTTTGAACTCCACTAACTGACCAGAACAAATGTTGACTATACATGGTAAGCTGGGGGCAAATGAGTGTACCTGTGGGAAACAACTGCTGCATTGGGTGCCACTGGAAGTGTTTCAGGCCCATCCATCATAAGAATGATACCTTCATACCTCAGGGATCGTAATCCTGGACTTCTGTCTTCTTGCAAAAAGCCCTCATCACACAGCCCATTCCCTCACTTGCATGACTTTGCAGCTCCACCAAGTTCCACACATACACAAACTATGTGCTCTGATATGGTGTGTGAGGCCCACTTGAGCACTGGAACCTCCCAAAGCTCACCTTGTCCCATGGTGCTCTGCCACAGTGGAGCTGCAATGCCATCAAACAGCTAGCTACTGCAGACTGAAGCCAAGTTCCCCTTCCAGTTACATTCCAATCACCAGCAGGCAATGTATAGCTCTCAATGTGCACACCATCTGGGCTGCATATAAAAAATGCGCAATTTATGCTTGGTATGTATAGGCTCAAGTGGTGATGCTACCAGGACACATGGAATGTGTTGCATTGTGCAGGAGAAATCTTCCCATCAGCAAACATTGTGTTGCCTGTTGAAGTGGCTCCTGTACACATTGGGCACATGATGGACAAAGCTACCACATCAGAGACAACACTTGAAATACTGGAGCACTTCTGGCTCAATGACATGTGGGACCAAGAGATCCATGATGCACTCTTCTTGCAGTACAACTAGTTATGGTTTACTGTACACAAATACAATGTTTTAGTTCTTGCATTTCTGAAACCCCTGCAGAAAGAGATGTAGTAACTGGGGACAGTTGCAATTTCTTGGTGCCAACCAGATGTCCTGAGCAAAAGGTGTTTGGCTCAAGGAACAGGCAGAAAAGCCTGTAATTGAGAGGTTAGCTAGTATTGCTTCAGACATACTCAGAGTGAGGAATGCACAGCCTATGCAGTGCCCTGAATCTGGATCTTGGCTCATAGTTTGGAGAAATGAAAATGTGACCTCGATCAAGCTTTGAGTACAATACAGATGATTCAGAGCTGTTGATGACCAGGACAAGCCCCCTTCAGCAGGATGCAATTCACGGCATCAAGCTGTGGGTTGCAAAGGAAGTACAGCCTTGGATGATATTGAGCTCCCTGCAGTTAGTCCTAGACGGTGGACATACATTAGGCATCCTCTGCAGTGACGGACACATGCAATTCAAGATCCCAGATCTTGTGACATCAATCTGTATCAATCTGCCATGCAATATGTACATGTCTGATGGGGAGGTGAAAAATACAAATGTTGACATCATAGAGTTGGAGGTGTGTGTTCGTGAGACTAGGGAAAATGTGTTTGAGAAGGTGGGAAATTGTTCATTGGGGCCTGATAGCTCATGTTCACATGTCACAGGTCAAGAACAATTGCACTGAGGAATTGGAAGACAGTCAAAAAGTGTACCAAAAAGCCATTTGGATCATTATCAACATCAATGATCAACATCAATGAGAGTGCCTGCACTGCTTCGGTGGTACCAAACTTCAAGAACATGGCCAAGAGTCTGCTGGGCTACAATTTTATCCCCTCACCAGGCGATGAAAGTCACATCCTCTTCAGTGGCATCTTGCATGGGCTTGAAATCTTGCTCAGAAAGGTCTCTGCTGAGCTGTATCTTTTCCACAGGGATGATGACCTTGACAAGCTTCACAAGGGGGTCCATAACCATTGAGGCCCAGAAGAGTATATTAGGAAGGGGCTCAGTGTGGTGAATCCCAAGCCCCCTGTTTGCATCTCATTGCTAACATATGTTAATTAGTGTCTGCTGCCCAAGTATGATGGGCAGGATGAGCTGGACAGGGCTACTTTTTTTCCCTAGGTGGCAGAATGCAATGCATGCTGCTCACAAGGTCACCATTTCTGCAGGGGCTTACACTGCTGGCATGTTCCATGGCATGAGCTTTGAAGAATGGCAGAAGTTGTCCGAGCGCCCCACCCTCAATGTTCTCCATCAGGTGGAAGATCCCCTTCCTGAAATAGTTGAAGCCATTTGTCAAGGTGCGCAGCTCACTGCTGAGGCTCACCATTGCCAGTGGCATCTCAGGGGCAGCCAGATGTTCCAAAGAGCTCTGAGCTCATTGATGTGGATGAGAACAATGCATTTAACTGGGAGAAGGAGGACACTCAGAGGCATAAGCAAGCAAAACCTGCTGAACCTTCTATCCATGACAATGCAAAGAGACATTGCCTGGACGCCTTCTGGAATTCATGTGGTCCACCTCCCTCCCCACCTCGCCCTATGAATGTGCCTTTGTCTGACATTGAAGATGAAGATGAGTCAGTTGAGAAGTTGGATGAAGCCGATGAAGAATACATAGAGGGTGCACACCCTTTGTCCCGTTTGACAGGCAAGCAGACTGTGATGGCAAAGGGTAAGAGGCCGCAGAGGGTTAAGCGGAAGGGCAAGCCTTGGGTCGTGAAATCTGCTCATTTTTGTCTTCCCTCTGTGCTGTTGTATTTGCTCATTGCTGGGACAATTTCTGTTGTGTTGCTCTGTTGTGTTGTTGCTGTTGGCACCATCATCAATGTGTTTCTTGTGTATACCACTGGGATCAAGTACAGTGCATCTGTCCACACAGACTAGCATCTTGTCAAGTTAACCTAAGTCGTCTTTGCACTCACTTGTGATGAACACCCTTGTTGTTATGTGAAGCTGGGTGAGTGGAACACTACAAGCCACGAGCTTGACAAGGCTACTAACTTTGAGGAGGAGTTCTGTTCTTAGACCTAGGAAGGATGCAAGTCCCTTCGTCCTAGTCGAGTTGCGAAGCGGTAGCAGTATGAGAAAGCTAGTGTTGATTGCTAACCAGGTCGAACTGAAGAGTCCAACCCCTACTGTACAGGTATATATACAAGTGAAAGAGTCTGAGTCAGAGCATACAGTAAGCATGAGTCAGGATGTGTCATCACTGATGAAGGAAGTGGTAATCATGACAAAGAAATGAGTCAGCAAGAGTCAGCTATCACATGATAGTCCGGGTGCAGTATAGTACATAACCGGTCCTCTTGCACGTGAGGTGGTTAGAGATACAAAGTAAAAGGAAATGAAATGTACGTAATGTGGTGCCTTGTAACACTTGTGCACCAATGGCTCTGCTTCCGTGAAGTAGCCTGCTATGGCTCAGAACATTGCTTCCTTGATGATGCAGCATGCATTCTCCTTGTTTGCTAATGGGATGATTTAGGTGGTTTAAATCACCTGAACGTACCGCAAAGCTGCGTTGGACTGAGGAGGTGGTAAGGGACAAGAGTGCAGCGGGGATCCACAGCATGAACCTTTCAGCTTATATGCCTCATCAGGTCCCTTTGATGTTGTTTAGTCATGTTTACCTATAATAACACAACCTGCACAATGCCCCTGCATCACTTACCATGATCAGTACAGCCTGCATTCCAGAATTCTATGTCATGCCATTTAACAAGAGACCTGCCATGCAGAGTCAATATTATGAGAATGCTCAGCATGTGCAAGGGCAACAGGTATTCACTGATTGGTGATTACATTCCACCCAATGATTTTGGAAGAGAAGCCAATTGCAAGATAGAGCTAGCAGTATAAAGTGAGTAGCATCATACAGACTTCCTTGTTGGATATGCATTTTCTGAGCCCATACTCAGCAAGTGAAATCAGACTTTCCATTTTCAGAAGGTCAGCTACCACAGACAGCAGGTGTCAGATGCACTTGGTAAGTGTTGCAGGGAATACAAACAATCTGAAAAGAACCAATGTGTGTAGAGGCATATTGCATTTTTCTGCTTTGTGAATGGTGCCATAATTTTATGATCATATGAAAAGCCACATGTACAGACTCTATGACATCATATATTTGACTGGAAATATTTCCAAATTTGCTCACATTTATGGGAGGCCACAGCACAGCAAAGGCAGTGTCATTGATGAGCTTGTGGCTGGGATTCAAAGTCAGCCCCAAAACTTGGCAGCCTGCCTGATCAGGGCAGGAAAGGGCCTGCTGCAACAAATAGAACAGCCCAGAGTCCTGTTTGGAGTTGCCAGCCCCTGAGAATGCCAGGTGATACTGACCAAGGACATGCATTTCAGGATACTCACTGAAAGAGTTGCTAATATCAGGCTGTACATGGGAAACTCTGCCTCACTACAAGTGTTCTTCCATATGACAGCCTCAATAGTCAATACAATATGAACCCATTGTGCTATCTCATTTTTATTTTTATTTTCCTGCTATTTGTTAAGTACTTCAGAGGCCATTCATGACCAACTTCCCAAATGGGCAGGGGACTAACCATATATGGCAATCTTATATGTCTGCTTCATAGACCCCATCATACCTGTGGAGCTCTGCAGTAAGTATGCACACAAAGATCTACTCATATGCCTCAGTATCACTTGCCAAAATTAGCACTGTGAGACAGAAGAGGAATACCTAATCAGGACACCCCTGCCAGTATCTATGGAGCATGCCATGGAGAGGCAATATTTTCAGCTTTTTGTGCATTTAATGGGGCTCTAGTAAGAGCTCAGTTAGTGTGGCTTGAAGCCATCAAAAAACTTGGCATGGAGAGCTGAGACTGAAAGATTACTTTGAAAGGGAATCTTTGTCAGCATACCAGCCAATGGGAGTGCTTCAAAATCCCTTTTGAGTGACCGGAGTCATCGACAGGCCAGAATTCTGGCGTGTCAATGACTCCACTTTGGCAACGGGCTAAGCAATGTAAGTGAGGACTGTTACTGTGCTCAAGAGGGCTTGTATAGACTCAGAAGCAAGCGGGAAATCAGAGAATATTGGAAATGGCCCAGGCAGTGTGATTGAAGCTGTCTATGCCATCATTTTGACATCAGATAAGAAACCATCCTCAATAACCTGGTAAGGTGTTTGCTATGGCCCCAGTGAGCTTATATAAGCCTGCTACTTCACTCTTGGGACTGCTCATGTACTGGACAACCCTATGAGATGGTAGTGTAAGTACACATTCAGGTATGTATCCCTAGATTGTGTCTGTGAGCAAGACAAAGCCAGCAGTGGATGCATAGTTACCATATGGAGTATGTGACCTTCCCAAAGAGGAATCATACACAAACAGGGGCATGTAGGGCTCAGTAAAATGCAGAAACTCTATGAAATATACAGACACATCAAAGACAAGTGTATGATTGCTTTGAGCTGTATTAGTGATCATTACATGGTGTCCATGAGAACAATATGGCACAGGATGGCCAGATTACCCATCATAGCCCTTGTTACCTGTATTACAGAAGCTACTGAGCTGTACACACTGTCTAAACCACACATATACATTAAAGTGTACACATAGACCATATTTGAGTCATACACAGGTACTTTGAATCTTCAGAAGCACATGTGCATTTTTTATTTTGCATTTCCTGGCCCGACCAGCCACTGTATGCACTCAATAAAATTCCTGTATACTCTCTGAATGAAGGGCTATACTATGTATACTATGACTTGTTAATGGCTGAGACTATATAGGCCCTACAGTGTGTGAGCACTTGCAGCAGTGGGCCACCGAGTTGGCAGTCACATGATATGTTCACCAGTTTCCTTATTGAGGGAACTGCTAAGGTATTTCATGGCCCTCATATCCATAACAGAGTGATTGGCCACTGCATTTGTTTGTATCTGTTGGTCCAAGTTGCGTTGTCTGGGAGTCTGAAATCTCAGACTCAGATAAGCAGCCCATACTAACGGTTACTTATCTCTGCTTATCTGGGTGGCTGCAAGTCACGTGCACTGTGGGAACAAACTGCCATTCCGGAGGAATCACTAACGTGTTTCATGGTGGTCCATCATAAGAACAATACCTTTGTACCTCAGGGATTGTAACTGTCTCAATCCTCAAACATCAAACATTTGGGCTCCCATTTTAAGCAGATCACTCCAAGATATCATAGCTCAGTACCCAATGTGGTACTGTATCTTGAAAGCTGACTGGCAGCCTTGTGACACCTGTCATTATGATGATATTGACTTCATATGACCTGACAGTACTTCAGGATGGCATCACTGAGGCCTTCCAATTTATTGGGAATTTATAATCTTTCTTTGGGCCCAAAACAGTAGGTTTTGTCCTCAGAATGAATATTCTGCGCATTCTTGACCGCTTTTTTGCAGTCACATGATCAATGACGTGTGGTCGCAGCACTGCAGCGATAAAACACCACTGTGAGTCCTGCGACCCCACATCATGGATCATGTGTGAGATCTACTGGGTTCAGTCCATTTTACCTATAACATGGAATTGACCCAGTATTGCCATTTGATCTTACAGGAGCTACATTCATGGTTTCAGGTTATTGTGCAACTCTGAGTGCCACAGAATTATTGACACACTCAGGATAAGACAATTAGAGAAGTGACCTGAAGACATAGCTAGAGCAGCAGCAGCTATCAAAAATCTAGACTTAGATCCAAGACACAATTTGAGTGTTGTCCCAAGCATACTATATTGGGTCACAATCTCAGTGACCTTAGCACTTGACAAGCCCTCCTCACTTTGTGTGGGCTTTAATGTCCTTAAGTCTTGTACATAGCTATGTTAAGAGACCTCAAGATGAAAATCTCAGAAAGAATATGCAGTCCTTGAGTGGAGCTCAGTACTCAATCTTCTCACTTGCTGGGGAGAGGGCCATGGCTGGCAGTACGATCCCATTGGTTTAGACACATTGAGGTGTGAAGAATTCAGTATTTCCCATTTTCACTGTCTAGTTGCTGCCTGGCAGCCCAAATACTCTATGCATCCTGGTTATCTACATTGTTGATTTCAGTGCTCCATCATGAGCAATATTACAATTGAGCAAGTAAGCCACCATGTGTTGTGTGTCATTGCTATATTCATAGGAAACTGTCTGTGAAGAGCACATACTTACACTGAGACTTGCACATGGAATCATTATTGCCTTTGCTCAGTATTCCAGTAATGCCTACTCAATGGTCATGGTATCCAGTCATAATTCTCATGAACACAAAGGTTTTCAACCTTTGTGAGATAACTTTTGGTTTCATCTGCTGGCTGACACTTCCTTCTTTTGTATGCATGCACAATTCACCACCATATTGCTCTTGTTCAACCACCCTCTCAATATATACAGATTCTCTACTGTTTATTTGGAATGGCAGGTACTCCACCAGATATTACCACAATGCACCATGTGTAATAATACCTGCTTCTTGGACCCTCCCATGATATATACAACACTGTTAAAATGGCACACGTGTTCACTCCTGGGTCTATGGTGTTATTGTGTGACTTTCCATATACCATCAAAGAATCCAGCATGAGTAGCTGACATTTTATGCTAACATGTGAAGGGAAATGTTGCTGCCAATGAGAGTGATCCAAAGTCACTTATTATTGACTCGAGATCTAGAAAAGGACAGTCAGATATTTGCCTAGAAGTCCACTATAAGTATGGTCTGTTGCTGGTTGCCTAGTGGCAGTCTGAGTGACAGTAGACATTGTACAAATAGACATCATCAATACATGGTACAATCATTCCCTGCCAATTATATCACCCAAGGCTCATTGCGTAACTTGAACAATAGGACCTGGTAACACATCAGCCTATAATATGATGGTAGAGGTTAG